CCCGGGGGGTACAAATCAAATTTTTATCATGTGAATTGTAAGATACCCGGGTACCTTATACGGCGTTTTACGGTACTCAATTTTTTTTAATATCAAGAATTTTTTTTGTTGGCTGTGCAAGTAAAAATAATTATTTCATGTGGTCTATTTATCTTAATACAAATAATCTTAGTCCATATACAGTATATATTACCGAAAGTGGCGCCTTTAAAAATAGCAAAATCCGATTTCAGAATAACGCCAATGGGCGTTATGAAATAATCTGCACCTGATATAATGTGGCATTAGGACTTTATACGTAGTAGTGCAGCAACCAGGTCCAGAAAATCGGGTTTTTGTCTCGAAATAACGTACGTACGTACGTACGTACGTACATGCATGACATATTCGAGATAACGTGCAGCATATTGTTTCGAAAATATTGTTAACGTAAGATTATTAACGTAAGATTATTTATCGTTTTTATCTTTAAATTTCAATTGAATTAAACTTTACAAAAATTAACGGACATCTATATGTAATTTTTTATATACATATTATATATTTATTTAATTAATTATTTTTTTTGATTTCGTATAATATATACGTATAATATACATCCTAAACTAATTAATAAGGGAATTATATATATATACATTGTTCGTTATTTCAAATTTACTACGTATCTAAATTATAGTAAATAAAAAACTATATATATCGATATGGTGAATAGTATATATAGTAATAATATGTTTCTATAAATCATTTATCTAAAATGATAAGTAAACGAAATAATCTAATTCTGTAATTAATATTAATAATGGTTAAATTACGTAATAAATTTTTTAATAAGTTTACTATATTTTACTATAACAAGTTTTTAATTTTTTTAAATATATTAATAATATTCTAAGGTTATAAATTAATATTATATATTATATTTTTGTAATTTGAAACACTTCATAATCATCAATCTTGTTAATTGCATTGATAAAACTTCTAATACCTGGATAGGTTTTAAATCCATTACTTCTAGCTTGATTGTTAACAAATATCAGATCAATTCCACCACCCCATCCCGGACCATAATTAGAATTATAATAAATTGCTTTATGTTTATCAGCTACCCTCGCTATGTTAACATTATTAAAAAGTTGCTTATTCTTGAAAGAAAATATAAAACTATCGGCGGTGCATAACCAACTATCATTGGACTTTATTGGAAACCCTCGTTCGAAATTAATTGGAGTATACGCGCCTATAATTTGACCAGTTTGAAATACCTTTGAAATTACTATTGTAGGACCTTTCTTATCGCATAATTTATGAAAAGTATTTGCACCAAAACCATCTCTGCTTGCTCTTAATAATAAAGATAACTTGTAAGAGGGACGTTTATTTTGATAATAGTTAAAATCTTTTTTATCCACCCAACTTGAAATTATGTTAACATGATTTTGATCTATGATAACAGAATCCAGGAGTGGTAAGTTTTGCATTGATCTATTCAAGGTTAGAGAGTAATTAAAGGTAGGAATGTTCATCGTGTGATGACGTAAGATATCTTGAAATATTGATTTAGGTAAAATTTTTTCGAAAGGGTAAACATCTTGAAAGAAATCATCAGAAGGAATATCCATCCATCGAATCAACGGAATAAATTGATCCAGGATTGTTTTTAATTTAGAAATCGATTCGAAAGGTAAATTCAACAAGTTTTTTAAAGGAATTATATAACCCCAAGAGTCTACTGGCAACTTGTTGTTTGTTATCTTTGACATACCCCATAATATTAAATATTTCCAAATATCGATTTCCTTTACACCAAGATCATCACAACTGAGTATCAAGAATAAGACAGATTTATCTAACCAAAGGTATTTTTGAGTGCAAAATAATTCATCAGAATTTTCACATATTACTTCTAAGCAATAATTTTGAAGAGTTGAGCAAGATTCCAAATGAAGTATAGTTTCAAGGACGTGAGCGGCAAAGTTGCGGATGAAGCAAGTCTTTTTTTCAATTAAATGTTCTTGTATGTAGCTTATTAATTTTTGCATCCATAATTCTTCAGCAGCTATTAAGATTTGGAGTAATTCAGGACCGGTAGAATTATCAAGGTCAATGAACGCAGTATACATGTAACTATTAGAAAGAAAGAGTAAAAAATCGAATGATAAATATATATTATAGAAAAAGAATATAAAAAGATTAGATGTAATAAATAAATATAAAATAATTACTTGAGTATTATTTGAAAAAAACGAGGAGAAATCGAGGGTTCTCTAAAAATGATGAAGCCACCTTCTTTATGAGTCCAATTACTGGAAATAGCAGCGCGAAAATAGGGACATCTAGCACTCAGAATAATTGAATGAGCTTTAAACTCTTTCATATCATTCCCATCACCCGCTTGTATTATAACGTCATGGCCAGTACAATTCTCGAGAATATAACCCAAATCATTAGAAAGATCTGTTAAGAAAACCGAATTCATTTTTTTAAGTAATAAATAATTAAGATCTAAAACTGATTAACTGAAGTAAAGCTTTTTATATAAATTTTTAGGCTTTTATGGAACAAATATTTATTTTATCCCCCCACATTTTGGTTTATAATTCCAAAATAAAACTTAGGAAACAAAGAAATATTTTTAGATTCTTGATGTTAATAATAGTTTAAATATTAACTGATAAAGGGTGTCAAACAAAGTATGTATCACATATGCGCAGGTATTTTTGCGGCATGTTCTATAAATAAAATTGAATATTTTTGACGTAAAATCGGTCATACGAAATTAAAAATGTAAGCTGATAAACAATTGTCATTGGTTACATTTTAAATCGTGTGATTTTGTGTGATTTTTAATACTATATTAGATGAATAATGAAATAATATTTACACGTATTATTGTTACGTATCTGTTATATATATATATATATTTTTGAAAATCACTTCAGTGACTTTTTAATTCACCGCAATAAGCTCAACAACAAATTTGTCATCAATGAATGAGATATAAATTTTGGTGACATCAGTCATACGGTATTTACAGTATTAAACAATATAGATTAACTATACCTAGCATCGAAATTATGAATTTATTGACGTTTGTAAAATTTTATTAATACTTTTAAATTCGTTAAATTGAATATTTGTGTAGCAGCAGAGTGATTGTCTCCTGATTCTCCCGATCCCCCTGATTCTTTTGACTATATTATTATTTATTAAGATTTTATTAAAAAAATTGTAACTAAAAATGTCTTATAATAATCACTAATATATACGTAGTAACAATGCACTTATACCATATCGATATAATTCTCACGAGCTTACGTAAAAATATTCAACTCCTTAAATGAGAATATGTACTTGAAATCAAAATTTTAATACGTACCGTATCGGTACGTATATAGATTTAGAACTAAGGATTGGAACCGTTTAACCAAAATTGTTTCATAGTTCCGGTTTGAGTCATGTTTGTCGCTGGATTAAGCGGTTAACGGTTAATATTCCATTTAGAATTCGATCGATTAACGTTAATAATATTCTATATATTCTATATAAATCATAATTATTACCAAAATTCATTTTTATTAACGTTAACGTTAATAACTGAACCTGAAATACTCTTTTTTTTTTGGATCTCTTGCAGTATAGGTGACACCGTATTATTAATCAAATTAATCAATTGATTTAGAATAGGTGTCACTATCTACTAAATAGATCGAATTACACATCTACTGAATGGATTCAGAATCAACTTTAAGTTAATTCAAAGTTTTATAACCACCTAGACGGATTTAAAGTTTCATTTCAACTTAAGAATATTTAAACAGTGGTCAAATTTAGAGTGTTCAATATCACTTATAATACATATATTGTATTCCTTTGAACGCATAGTTCTAATTTGAAAGAAGATTTGTTAACTATAGTTGGATATATAATAATACAGGAAACTTTTTTATGATCGTCTATCCGTAACCTTTAGTAATTTAAAAACAGTGCATCTCGGGCTTATGAATCGTAAAATTTTAGGATTATTTTCTTTCTTTAATAGATTTCTTTCGGGATTAAATTCCTTTGAATCTGGAATTCCAATTTAGATTACCAATAGTTACCATCTGTATCATTATATAATTTACCAAAACATGCCGCAGAAATGTTACCGAGAGCCAAATTACTAAATTTGAATAATACAGATGTTGATCAAAAATACGTAGTAAAAAATTAAAATTATAAATACGTAACGAGGTTTGTTATAATACCATAATAATAAAGAAAAAAAAAATGTCAACTTGTTCCTTAACCGAATTGTCAACCGATTTTGGTCAGCTTCTTGCTGATGGTTATAATTCTGATGTGATTATTCAAGCAGGAGATGAAAATGATGTTCAAGAATTTCGTGTACATTCACTTATTTTGAGTGCACGATCACAATATTTTCGCATTGCTTTATCGGATCTTTGGGCACGAAAAAAAGGAAATAATGCCGTTCTCAAAAAACCAAATGTTTCTCCAAAAATATTTCAGTTGCTATTAAAGTACGTATATAATTA